AGAACCACTTTCCCAGTAGAATATTCAACAGTTCCTTCCATTATGTAAAAGTCTGTACATGATGTAATGAGATAAATAAATATTCCCTGTGTTTACTGGTCTCATTAACTAGCATGTAAATAATCTCCTATGTTTCCTGTTGCTGATGATGTGAGGCTTCCCACAGGGGATTATGCTGGTGGGTGATGAGGATAGAGGCACAACAAGGGAGAGATAATCTCATACTTCCTGTTTAATAACTTCTTATAATAATGAACTCTGTGCAATATATCAAATGGTTTTCAAGGAAGAAATTAACCTATCAATAATAAATGAATAGATTACTTCAAAATTTCGCAGAAAATGTCAGAGGTCAAGCACTTCATCTGACATTTTGTTAATTGGTTAAGACTTCAAGTTGTATGACTGGTTATCTAATTTCCTAATAGACATTTTATAATTTACTGTAGCCTTGCATTGAATGAGTAGGGGTTATGAAATGATATCCTTTAAGATGTAAAAAAAAAAAACCCATCTATAATTGAACTTTAAAATGTCTGTCCCTCAATAGTTTATGTGCATTGACAAATGTCGATTACAACTAGACTCTGAACACTCAAATTTACACATTGTTTCAATGACTTTGTTGCTGACTTAAGTTTAATTTTGTCCGTTTTACAATATGTAATAAATCATAAGAACTATAAATAAAAAAAGCTTTCATGCTAAATACTTAAATACTTTTGCTTACAAAAAAAAAGATGTGGAGGGGGTTTAAAAGACTGAGTACCTATACAAAAAATTTCAGAGTCGATACTTAATAAAAAAAAAAGAGAATTTTTTGTGGTAAGATTTCATATGAGACAACTATCCACCAGAGTCCAAATGCTGTGGATATTAGCAACTTATACACTACAAAAGTCAAAAAGTCTGAAAAGACCAGTTTTTGTCTGAATTTGCATGAATTTTTACTCGACATTCTTAATTTGTCTGAATAATTTTTAAAAATTCTTGACATAGTATGAATTTGTCTAATAAGGTTCTTGATTTTTCTTGACAAGTGTCTTGACAGTATGAACATTGTCTTAAAATTTCTCGACACTTCCTGTATCATCTGATAAGAGTCTGGATTAGTCTCGACCAATTCTTGACTCTCTTAAATTTGTCTCGATCTGTCTTGACATATTCTTCATGTTCTTGACATTCTTAATAATGTCTGAATATGTCTCGACATATTCTTGACATTCTAAATAATGTCTGAATATGTCTCGACACATTCTTGACAGTCTTAAATATGTCTTGACACTATCTCAACAGTATAAATTTCGCCTGAAATGTGAACAGACTTATTCTGCACTGTTTATGACATTCTATTTCTGTTATATACTCCTTTTTATTATGGCTAAACTAAACTTTGAGGGCTTTCGTTTAGGTCAAAGAATTTGTTCCCATCTTGATTCAAAAACCTTATTCATTTTTTAGAACAACCCAAAAACATTTTTTATTCAAATTTGAGTGTTGAATTTTATAATTTTTTATCAAAAATAAATATTTGTGATAACTCCTTCCTGAAAAGAAAAAAATGTTTAGATCTATATTATGCATGTCTGTTTGAGAACCATTTCATAAGACTGATGATTTCTATAGAAATCATTGATGGGACCCATTATAAATACATTTTTTTTATTATTCCTGGAGTAGATAATAATTTTCTTTTAATCTTCGGGAATTATTCAATTTGTTTTTATGTTGAAATAATTAACTTCATAATTTTGATGAAGAAAATCCATTTCAATTTAATTTTTTTCATCAAAATGATGATTTTCATTTTCATCTATCAACAAACTTTTTAAATTGTAGTGGCATGGTCGGTCAACTGATAAGTTGTATGGCTGATTACAGGTAAAGCAATAACTTCTATTTGACAGTTGCGTGTACTCTGGGGTGTGGAATACCTTAATTTTATGGGGAACATCCTGTCCATGTGTAATACTTAATATATTCCAACAGATGACATTACACAAATTTTTCTTCTGTTAAATGAATGATTTGTATATCATCATAATTTGCTATTTATATAAACCACATTTTGGTATAATAATTATTTACCATATCAACATTGAATATTATGAATGTAGAATGAAATATGTCTACAGTATGATTGGTTTGAATCATTTAATTTATAAGATTAAGGAATCAAAATTTGTAATTATTTAAAAACCCACATTGATATTGTTTTATATCAACACACCCACATTTGAATTATTTTATACTTTAGATTTCATAGCTATATTTGCATTTGTAAAAATATTTATATACCCAAATTTTCAATTATTTTACATGCCCAACTTTTATTTTTGTTGTAAAGAAGTGTAACTTGAAACAACAGTATATCATATAAAGAGAAATAAAGATTAAAGTTATATCATGAATATTGGTCATGATTTGTAAAACTCAGAACTGTCAAGTAAATTTAAGACACGATTCAAAATGTTAAGAATGTGTCAAGCCATACTGAGAAAAAATAAGAATGTCGAGAATATGTCGAGAAATTTCAAGACAGTAATCAAATGTCAAGAATTTGTCAAGAAATTTTAAGACCATATTCAGAATGTCGAGAATATGTCGAGTAAATTTCATACAAATTTAATATAAATGAGAATTTGTCAAGAAAAATTAAGACACAAGTCATACTTTTGGAGAATGTCGAGTAAAAGTTCATGCAAATTAAGACAAAAACTGGTCTTTTCAGACTTTTAGACTTTTGTAGTGAATTACCAACAGATATTATTATAATAAATAAAATAACAGAGTTCCAATGTCCCCCACATTGCACATATATCATCTATCCAAGGATCAAGGGCAATAACTAAGAAAAACATTTTTTTTTAGTTATTGCCCTTGATCCTTGGATCGCTAACGATGCAATTTTCCACATAATTAATGTTTCCAAGGGGCATAACTCTTTTAAAAATAATTGATCAGTATTGATTTTCAAACTCGTCGGAGACATTGCTGATATAAACCTATGATATAAGTTTTAATAAAATCTACCAAGAATTGTACATGTAGGAGCGCTAACAGGATCAGACGGAAGGATGGACGGGCGCCCGGTATTTATATGTCCCCCACCGGGGGACAATAAACAAAAATCTTTTAAGTCTAACCACATAAATAAATAAATTTGAACTGACCTGAAATATTTACATTTTTATCTGACTGATCAGTGGTTTCCTATGATTACATTGTAAGTAGAGAATTTCCTGTATAAAGGCTTTTAGATAAATATTTTTATGAATAACAAAGATAAAACACTGAAAGATAATATTATCAAAATATACTTATTGTTTGTTATTTCCTTTATTTTTCCAAAAAAATATTCTTTCATCCTTCTTTTTGTAAATTTATCTAGTTTCATGTCAGTTCCTGTTGCATTGATGGAGGGAAACAGAGTATGATTGGCTTTTTGCAATTTTGACAATGACATCCACATGTAAAATGATCTTTTGATAGAAGATGCTGTGATGCATAATAATCATGTCAATCCTTATTTTGTGCAAGATATCCAATTTAAACTGATTATGATTTGCGATCATTTTTAATCAAATGACAAGTATAATTGCTAACAGTCATGGTATTGTAAAATGAGAAATGATTATCATTTTTGCCACACATTACATGGGGCTTTGTGTTGTTGGGTTGCAGTCTCATGGCTGTATACTTCACTTATTTTATTCATATAAGAGCCGTTCCAGAAAAAGTTCTGTCAGGGGCATGAAAGCACTTCTTAATTCAAATTGCTACAAATAAAAAAAAATATTTACTTTTTCTTGTAGTTGGTCAAATTGGCTCTTTTTCTGAAATGATCACCACCCATCATATCTTAATAGCAGCTTGTCCCATACAATAAATTAAATTCTGGAACATTTAGTAACAAAAGCAAGAAGGACAAATCTCCTGTGGTTAAACCTTTAGACGATCTGTTCATATTTCAAAGAAATGACTGTCTCATCTTTCTCTGCTTGTCTGAAATTTTTTATGTGGTAAAAGACTGCATTCTTACTATGGCTCAAAATGTAAGAAAGACAACTCTAAATATCATTTTGCAAATAAATGCAGAAAGTATTAATAAACATATTGTTGAACATTGGAAGCAGTGTTTTTATGTATGATGTTAATTTTTAGATTATTTCTATTTGCCTTTTAAAACCAAATACGTTTCCTGTAGAAATTCCTGTATTAATAGCTAGTGTATCGAAATCCATATACATATATACCATTGTATGATGTTGTACCAAAAAACGTATATATATTTTTTTGCTAATCAGCTGACAATCACACACAAATGGATCTTTCATTATGTTTTTTTCAATTGTTCAAAATGATTAGAAATGAAACTGACCATAACAACAACAACAAAATTCAAAAGGACCCTTCCTTCTTCCATAGCTTTTTATGGATCCCCAAAATGATGTTCTATAGTCTAAAGCCAAGTTCTGTTGTTAGTTGAATCATATGGTACAAACTTACAGCTGAAAATGATCATTTCATAACATAAGGAATGCATGTAAGGCCAAAAAAAATATATATCTGTTTCCTTCCTTCAGTCATAAAAAACAGGGCCTTTCAGTCAGGATTTTATAAACTAGTTTTATGCAAATTGACAAAATACAAAAAAGTTACACGTTTTTTTCACTGAATTATGGTCAATCTACCTGAAATCATATCCACAGTACATGTATAACTAAAATTATACAAAATGCTATTTCTTGAAAAATTTTTTGGAAAGGCAATAAAATCTTTTTAGGGTTGGTGATCAAACCTAGGGTTGGTTGTGAGACAGGAAACAGATATATATATTTTTTAGCCTAACGATAAAAGTTTTGGATAAATAAAAAGCATGCAAGAACCAATACTAGCAAGCAAACTGAATTTATTACACAAAAAATATAATTCATAGTTCATGCAGTGATAATACAGAGGTGCTTGGGATATAAGCATGCAGGTCTGTAGAAACCAACCTCAACAAAAACATCCATGCATGAAAAGTCACCGTTCGTAGAACTTAAAACATTCATGTTGGTAGGGTTGGTAATATTTTCTTCCAAAGGATTTATATCTATACATGCAAGGATTGTGTCAGCCTCAAAAACAGTTTCATCTGCTTGGGCAAGAGTTTCATCTGCATCAGCTATTAATTTTCCTACCTCGTTGTGGGTTTCTTCGATGAAATTATCCGTCACTGAAAATCTCTGTTTAGCATTCTCTGAATCCCCATCACTAGCGATGCTGATCCGCCCAGCACTTGTCATGTAAATTTCCTTAGTTCTTTTTATTGAATCAATAGCACTATTTTCATTAGTATCAATTCCGCTTTCATCAATCACACATGTCTCTGATATTTTAGTATGTGTATCGTTTGATAAATTGTTTGAAAATTCTAAATTATCGCCCTTTAATTCCCCTTCAGCTACTGCACCTTGCAAATTTTCATTGCTAACAAATTCGTCATCTTGTTTTTCCAAATCAGTTTCATCAATTTCATTTCCTTCTTCAACAAGTTTATTTGATGAAGTGTTTGTAAATTCTAAATCATCTCCCTTTGATTCACCATGTATTTCTTTATTAACTTCAGCTACTGCATCTTGTAAATTTTCCTTGTTAATAACTTCTTCATCACGCTTATTCAAATCAATTTCATTTCCTTCATTTTCATTTCCTTTACCAGCAAGTTCATTTGATGAATTGTTTGTAAATTCTAAACTATCTCCCTTTAATTCATCTTTTTCTTCATAATAGCCTTCAGCTACTGAACCCAGTAAATTTTCCTTGCTAATAACTTCTTCATCTTGTTTTTTCAAATCAGTTTCATTTTCATCAATTTCATTTCCTTCACCAACAAGTTCATTTGTTGAAATATTTGAAAATTCTAAATTGTCTCCCTTTAATTCCCCTTCAGCTACTGCACCTTGAAAATTTTCGTTGCTAACAAATTCTTCATCTTGTTTATTCAAATCAGTTTCATCAATTTCATTTCCTTCTTCAACAAGTTCATTTGAGGAATTGTTTGAAAATTCTAAATGATCTCCCTTTGGTTCACCATATTCAGTTACTCCACCTAGTAAATTTTCGTTGCTAATAACTTCTTCATGATGTTTGTTGAAATCAATTTCATTTTCATTAATTTCATTTTCTTCTTCAACAAGTTCATTTGATGAATTGTTTGAAAATTCTAAATTATCTCCTTTTAATTCACCATGTACTTCATTATAACCTTCAGCTACTAAACCTAGTAAATTTTCGTTGCTAATAACTTCTTCATCTTGTTTTTTCAAATCAGTTTCATTTTCATCAATTTCATTTCCTTCACCAGCAAGTTCATTTGTTGAAATATTTGAAAATTCTAAATTGTCTCCCTTTAATTCTCCTTCAGCTTCTGCACCTTGCAAATTTTCGTTGCTAACAAATTCTTCATCTTGTTTATTCAAATCAGTTTCATCAATTTCATTTCCTTCTTCAACAAGTTCATTTGAGGAATTGTTTGAAAATTCTAAATGATCTCCCTTTAGTTCACCATATTCAGTTACTCCACCTAGTAAATTTTCGTTGCTAATAACTTCTTCATGATGTTTGTTGAAATCAATTTCATTTCCTCCTACAACAAGTTCATTTGATGAAATGTTTGAAAAATTTAAATTGTCTCCCTTTAATTCACCTTCAGCTACTGAACCTAGTAAATTTTCATTGCTAATAACTTCATCGATTTTTTTCAAATTTGTTTCATTTTCATCATTTTCATTTCCTCCACCAACAAGTTCATTTGATGAATTGTTTGTAAATTCTAAATTATCACCCTTCAATTCACCATGTATTTCATTATAACCTTCAGCTACTAAACCTAGTAAATTTTCATTGCTAATAACTTCTTCATCTTGTTTTTTCAAATCAGTTTCATTTCCATCAATTTCATTTCCTTCACCAGCAAGTTCATTTGTTGAAATATTTGAAAATTCTAAATTATTTCCCTTTGATTCATCATGTATTTCATCATAACCTTCAGCTTCTGCACCTTCTAAATTTTCGTTGGTTATAAATTCTTCATCTTGTTTATTCAAATTAGTATCCTTTTCATCAATTTCATTTCCTTCACCAGCAAGTTCATTTGTTGAATTGTTTGAACATTCAAAATTATCTCCCTTTAATTCATCATGTATTTTATTATGACCTTCGGTTGCGGCACCTAGTACATTTTCGTTGTTGATTAATTTTTCATCATTTTTTTTCAAATCAGTTTCATTTTCATCAATTTCATTTCCTTCACCAACAAGTTCATTTGAGGAATTGTTTGAAAATTTTAAATTATCTCCCTTTAAATCACCAAGTTCAGCTACTCCACCCAGTAAATTTTCGTTGCTAATAAACTCTTCATCATGTTTGTTCAAATCAGTTTCATTTTCATCAATTTCTTTTTCTTCGTTAACAAACTCATTATTTTCATTTTCTTTCGTTTCACAAACATCAGGGTTCAAACCACTGAACTCCATTTTTATATCAGAAATTATATGAGTAACCTCCCCTTCAATTTCTGAGTTTATCATATCAGTTATCTCCCCCTTAATGTCTTGTATCTGTTGGTCAGGTGATAAAACCTGATAGCTTCCTTCTGTTGTGGTTGATGTAGGCTCTGATGATTGACTGCTATACATTCCTTGGAGGGTTGTGACAAATTCAGTATCATTGCCCTCTCCCTCACTGGATATATAATCCAAAGTTTCAGCTTTGTGATAGGTTGATCTAGCATTTTGTTTTAAGTCCTCAGACTCATGCTGTAACTTCACTAAATTATCTGTTTCTCCTTCTGAAGATATATAATCCAAGGACTCCTTTTTTCTAATATTATAAGGCATAGAATCTTGGGATTGTTCCAGCAATCCAACATTGTCTGGTTTCAAAGTTGACAAACTTTCAGCCTCATTTTCAGATGATAACTCAACAGACTCCATTTTATCTATGTAACCCTCTCCAATAGCAGGTTTATCTGAAATATTACTTAGCTCATTAAAAGCATCGTCTGTTTTCAAAGGTGACAAATTTTCAGCCTCCTTTTCAGATGATGTAAAATCGACAGACTCCATTTTATCTATGTTTTCCATTCCAATAGCAGGTTTATCTGAAATATCATTTAGTTCATTAAAAGCATTGTCTGATCTCAAATTTTCAGTCTTATTTTCAGATGATATATAATCAACAGACTCCATTTTATCTATGTTCCCCATTCCAATAGCAGGTTCATTTGAAATATTACTTAGCTCATTTAAAGCGTCCTCTGATTTCAATGGTGACAAATTTTCAGCCTCAATTTCAGATGATATATTATCAACAGAATCCATTTTATCTATGTTCACCATTCCAACAGCAGGTTTATCTGAAATTTTACTGAGCTCAATTTCAGCATCAGCCGATTTCAAAAGTGACAAATTCTCAGCCTCATTTTCAGATGATATGTAATCAACAGACTCCATTTTATCAATGTTACCCTCTCCAATAGCAGGTTCATCTGAAATATTTCTTTGCTCATTAAAAGCATCTCCTGATTTTAAAGGTGACAAAATTTCAGCCTCATTTTCAGATGATATATAATCAACAGACTCCATTTCACTGATGTTCACCATTCCAACAGCAGGTTTATCTGAAATATTACTAAGCTCATCAAAAGCATCGTTTGTTTTCAAAGATGACAAATTTTCAGTCTCATTTTCAGATGATAACTCAACAGACTCCATTTTATCTATGGTCCCCATTCCAAAAGCAGGTTTATCTGAAATATTACTTAGCTCATTTAAAGCATCGTCTGATCTTAAAGGTGACAAATTTTCAGTATAATTTTCAGATGATATAAAATCAACAGACTCCATTTTATCTATGTTCACCATTCCAATAGCAGGTTTATCTGAAATATTACTTAGCTCATTTATAGCATTGTCTGATTTTAAAGATTCAGGCAATAAATCAGTTTGAATCAAATCACTTCCAGCAAAATCTAATAGTGTTTGATTATTTATCTGGTTTCCATCATGTTTATCTAAGTCTGAACCAGCAGCAAATTCCAGCAGTGAGTCTGATTGGTCATTAAATAAACTTTGAACCAATTCCTTTTCATTGCTTACATCTATATTTAAATCACTAACAGAATGTTCCTTAATTTTTTCTGAACTTTCAACTTTTGGATCACTTGAGCGTTTTGAACTACTAGTGGAAGAAAGGTAATCATTCGATTCTGGAGTTTCAAAGGATGACATCTGACCATTTTTCGCTGACTGAGCAAGAAGTAACATCTCATCTGATTCTAAGCTTGTAGCACCAGTATCTATACTTGACCTAGGAGTATCTAGACTTCCTTGATTAGACCAAATGACAGTTTGGCCATCTTTACTTGGAATAGAAGACACAGTATCGAAACTGGTCTCTCGTGACCATGTGACTCCACTTTCTTCTGTTATATCACTACTTGAGTCTGAAACAATATCCCTGTTTACAGTATTAGTTGCCGTAGTAACAGTTGCTATAGCACCAGATATGACTTGTTGGATAAGCTCTGCAGCATATTCATCAACAGCACCATTGGAGTCTTCCATCTTAGGTTCAGTATCCTCGTCCACTGAAATACATCATATTCATACATTATTCAAACTAAGATATATCAATATCTTAAAGACAGTATCAAACATTTCCTGTAGACTTCCTTGTAAAATGAAAATGCAATATTTGCCAATAATTTTACTAATTACATCTATAAATACACCAAAAAAGTAGAGGATTTCCAATGAGTTAAAAATATTGCAAACTGAGCAATAATGGATGCTGCAATTGTTTGCACCTGTCCTAAGTCAGGAATCTGATGTTCAGTAGTTGTCATTTGTTGATGTGGTTCATAAGTGTTTCTCGTTTTTTATATTGATTAGACCGTTGGTTTTCCCGTTTGAATGGTTTTAAACTAGTAATTTTAAGGGCCCTTTACAGCAATAGCTTGCTGTTTGGTGTGAGCCAAGGCTCTGTGTTGAAGACGGTACTTTGACCTATAATGGTTTACTTTTATAAATTTTGACTTGGAAGGAGAGTTGTCTCATTGGCACTCATACCAAATCTTCTTATATCTATCTATACTTCTGTTAAAAGATTGGTACAGGCAAGAGAGGTTCCAAATAAAACGATATTTGTATGCAAGTAATCAAAATAACAAAAAATTTGTAAGTGGTTCCCTGTGTCTCGCCTGCGATTGCTGCTGTCAGTGTAAAAGTGTGACTTAAAAAGTGAGTCCATTTAACAGTAAAATACAGAATTTAAAAAAAAAATCAAATCTTTCTTTAGATGCTCTTTCTTGGTCTTGAAAGATAAGCTTCTGTACAAGTTTCATAACAATCCATGAATGTTTACAAATTTATCATGTCAAAAAAATTTAATCCCAGACTGTCTGTAAATGATAACTGTAAAAACGAAGTCCATCTATCAGAAAAATACTGAAAATGAAAAAAATATCCTTTCAAGGTTTGCTTCACACATTATCTCTTAATCATTAAAAAGCTTCTGCCAAAGTTTCATAAAACCCTATGAAGGTTTGAGAAAGTAATTGATGTGTAACAAACTTTAACCCATGACTGTATATACTTGTTAAATGTAAAAAAAAAGTCCATTTATCAGTAAAATACAGAAATATGAAAATAAATATTTTCCAAATTTTGCTCTGGATACCTCAGACTAAATCTGAATGTTAACTGTAAAAAAAGCTAAGTCTATTTATTAGTAAAATATGGAAAAATGAAAATAATGAAAATTGTTGCATTCATGAAACAAATTTCGCAGGCTCCACATAAATGAAGTAACAGTGGTTTTGGCCTTTATGTAATTTTGTCAATATCTCAGGTGTACAGAAACAAATTGTTATTTTTCCGGTTACCTGACTGACTTATTATTGCAACAGACTTGCATACTTTAATTCCAGATGGTAATCATTTTTTTTTAAATTCTGTCAGTTTTAGATGTCAAAATCAAATCTATGTTTGCCTGGCACAACTTCCTGTAATAACTCCATGATATAACATCGTGTTTTTGTCTTTTTCTTCGTATTTTACATTATTTACTGAGTGAAGAAAAATTCATGTTGTAATGTTGGATAACAGAATTATAAACTACACTAGAACACACCCGTGACAACGCAGGTCCGTGACTGAATTATAGTACCTATGCCTTATTTTTAGCCTGGATTTTTAGTATTCATATTGTCATCTGATAAAGTCATGCTGTTTGTAAGGTGCAGTTTCCTCTGCTTTCAAAACCTTTCTGTTTAAATCTGTCCTGTTTACTTATTCCTGTTACTTACTACAATAAAATTACTATAAACTAAATTTAATTTTTTATCTAATTAACCAAAATTAATAGTGGTATTGAGGTGGAAGAAAACAGACTTGTTAAATAGTGTAACATAGGTATAAAACTACAGGAAGAATTCCAGGTTCTCCTGATAGAGGAGGGATTTACAGGAGTAACAGGTAACTACAACCGGAAACTACAAGTTACATATACTATTGGTATCAGTATCAGATTCGACCCCGTACTTGTTATTGGTAATATTAATTGTGGAAAACAGAAGGGCCTGGAATGGTGTAATTTATAAACAACACAATTGTCCTATATTAGTTATATATAAAGATGAATTCTTTGATTTGTCTTTTTACGTCATGCCGGCTAACAAATTGCACCTCAATATTTTAGTAGTATAGATATTGAATTATATTAATTTTTAATTCAAATTAAATTCTATGAAACAAAAATTAGAATTTAAAAACAAGAATGTCCATAGTACATGGATGATCCACTAGTACTATAATTTTCTATGCTCAGTGGAGCATGAAATTGGGGTCAAAACTCTAATTTGGCATTAACATTAGAAAGATCATATCATAGGAACATGTGTACTAAGTTTCAAGTTGATTGGACTTCAGCTTCATCAAAAACTACCTTGACCAAAAACTTCAACCTGAAGTGGGACAGATGGATGGACGGATGAATGGACAGACGAACAAACGGATGCACAAACCAGAAAACATAATGCCCCTTCTACTATCGTAGGTGGGGCATAAAAATAATAAAAAAGACCGTACTCAAAATATTTTAAATTTGTAATTATTGAAACACAGATTTTTTTTCATTTGGCCTTACCTTTGTCTGGAGTATTTCGAAGAAGTATTTCCTGTCTAACAGTCTGTGGTTCTTCTCCACTGATTTTACGAAAACTAATACTCTCTACTATTTCTTTCTCCTCTGCTGCCTTAACAAGGTCAAGGTTACCATGCATTATGTCCACACTAGACAGGTAATCTGTTTCAACAGGTACTTCCTCAGGTGTAATAACTGAACCTGTAAATGTTAAATACTATAAAAATTTCTTCAGAGTTTTTTCCTTGAATTCTATCTTACTGAAAAGTCTGATATGATAAATGAACATAATTCTCTGTTATTCTATAAATAAATTTTAAGAAAGAAATATTTAAGAATACAATCCTTTTAATTTACATATAAATACTTTTTAAATGAGATCAAATAAAACAATCAAGTCAAACAGAAAATGATGTGATAAAAGATTTAATCTGGTACATCATGCATACCTAACTATACTGGTACATTAAGTACTCACTATTAAAACAAGACATTGTAAAACCTCAGTAAAGTGAACTAGATATTGAAATTCCAAGATAGCATGTCAGAGACTCTGTCAGACAGCCTCTAAAGAAGCTGGTATGAAAAACAATTTCCCTTTCAGACTAATATAATCAGTTTCTGGAAGTTTTGTTATAACATATGTTAGTCAGTTGATCAGACACCTAGTGATAGCCTGTAGGACCGATTCTAAAGTATGAATGTCTTGTCAGACAGAATTTGATGTGTCAGACAGAGTTTGAGACCTCTGTGTTTACCCATATAAAGCTGCTGATTTAAAAATAGATTTTGTTGATCAATTAAACACATGAAGTTTATCTCAATGAGACAGCAGCCCATCAACACAAAATGTAGACATCAATAATAGATTCATCCAAAAAAAGCTACATCCTGAAAAGTAAATGGCTAGGATGGTATAATCAGGTTTGTTCAGTGAAGACATCCTGTCAAATGTCTGTATCACACTTTCCTTTTGTGAAATCAAATATGAGCAACAGCTAAACTAAAGTTGTGCAAAGGATTTTTTCGAAATGTATCTTTTTGAGTAAGGCTGTTAAAATCTCAATTTTAGTGGAAAGTAATTATGGCAGTTTAGCTGATATTATATTCAAGAGGTTTAAGCCTTTCAGCAAATTTTCAATGAATAATTCACTATATGCTTTCCCCTATATCTGAGAAAATTATGTGTAGTAAACATCTGACGTGTGTGTTTTATATTTTTATTATACTTTTGAATATGTTTTTTTCAAGGGGCCTTAAAAGCGACTTTATTATGCCTGTTTATTTTGTTACTTTTCAAATCAATTAGTGTAGCAAGTTTGATTGATGCATAAATAATGTGAAAATTGATGTAGACATTTCTATGTAGAAAGAAACACCCTAGAAATAATTTACCTGTAGAAGATGGGGATTCAAGTATTTCTAAAATATTATTCTCTTTGAAATAATTTTCCTCAGTACTGACAGGTGATGTGGCTGACAATTCTTCCTTCTCTGTTTCAGTAGGTAATTCGTTCTCTGGAAAACTATTGATAGCATCCTCTATCAAATTTTCAGTCAGATTTTGAGCAAACTCATCAATACTCTGATCTAAAACAAGTTCCTCAGTTTTCAAATCATCAGAATTACTTCCCTTGGACTGAAAATTCTGAAAATTATTGTCATTATTTGAATTTTCCCCTCTGTCTTGTGATGATTTGGTATCAAAACTTGATGAACTAGAATCAGTTAGTCTACTACCTCCATCAGACGGTGCATCAAAAAAAGAAACCAAAAGATCCTCTGAAGTTGTCTCCCTTTTTACCATTTCCTGAGCAATGCCTACAGCTACAACGTTATTGTGTACATCTGTAGGATTTAACATATCTGATGTGTCAAACATCAACAAACCAGAATCAGTTATTTCATTCACTGCTAGACTATCTTCATCAACATCCTGATTAGCTTCAGATGCATCATCTTCAATATTTCTCAAAGTTTGATGCAATCTATTTGTATCTAAAAATGTTTTGGAATTTTTTTCTAGCAATGATAAGTCTCTAAAGCTATTATGAGGGGTGAATGGTGTCACTTCACCACTTTCTGAACGTAATCTTACGATATCATCCTCTTCGTCTAACCTTGACATTTCCATCGAGGATCGTTTCTGTTTTATACGTTGCACCATTTCCATGCTGTTGAAGCTAGGTAGCTGGTGATCCTTAGCATACTGGTCAAAAGCACCTTCCATGTAACTGTTTTGTGGTGTGTAGGGTACACTATTTGGGTCATTGTCCGTTCCATCCGCACTTGTACTTTCCGTTGATCGTAACCTGCCTTTTTTCTTTCGTATTTTCTCAAGCATTTCTGCACTATTCAAACTCGGTAATACAAATTCCTTCGCATGAGCATGTCCTGTAGCATCTATAAAACTATTTGGTGGAGTAATTGGATAGCTGGCAAAGGCTGACCCTGGTTCAGAATTATGTGCCGATGAACCCTGAGAAACACTGTTCATCCCCGAGTGTGGAGTCTCAAGTGTTTGTGAACCAAACATGATATCGGCTTCATTAAATTCATCTGTAGCTTGCTCACTATCTATATTGATTTCAGGGATATTACTTGGCAAATTATTGACAATTATTGGAGTGTTATTTGAAGATGAACTAAAAGGGTCAAATCCTCCTAGTAAATCAACATTTGAAGATGACTCCAATTGACTGGTTTGTTCTGAGGTACCTACTAGGTCAAAGTTTAAATCTAACTGATTCTGGGAGTCTAATGGCAAGTCGTTGAACACATCTGTATTGTTAATTTGAGCATTATTAGCAGTATCTGTTCCTGCAAAAATATCAAATTCATCCATTAAATTCTGGTTTGTACCAGTTTCAGACTGGTTTTGACTAGACTGTTGACCTGCTAAATTCAAAAGGTCAAAATTGTCCAATGGCACTGATGCTACAAACTGGTTTTGACTAGTTTGATCCCCTGAGAGGTTAAAAAGATCAATGCTATCCAATGATTTTTCAGCACTATTTGAATGTTCATCACTATGACTAGTTACATCTTTATATTCATTGACAATAGATTGAATTAAAGGTAGAACAACTTTCCGCGAGGCTCTCACACACCCTTGTTTATAACAGGTCAGATTTTGTTTATCCGTTCGTACTGGAGAAAGTTCCAAGACTGGATCCCTGTTAGCTGATAACTGGTCACATATCTGAAATACAGAGAAAAAAGTGACTTTAAAGAAAACCTTAGGAACAGGGAAGACCCTGAAATTTTGTATAAAGAGAGAGTTGACTGTACAATCTTTAACTTTCTATGAAGAACTTTGTGGACAGTGCTTGCCTGTTTGTCTTTTTTCTTGGTCATTGTATGTTTTTTGTTTCCACTAATGGTTTTTGATTGCCCCTTGATATCATGTTAAAATATTTTTCACAAAAGTTAGCAAACAATTTTTGCATTATTTTCCATGGCCATTTTTATACATTATTTTCCATGAAAGTTAGTCTTCTGAAGAATGGAATAATATAAAACAATACCCAAAGTTCTTGATCATGTATAGACCTACGAGTTCCTAGTCCTATCAGGACCTACAAATTGCTAATCCCATCAGGGGCTACAAGACATTGATCAAGTCTATTATTGTGATCATCCAGATTCATTTTAATATGGATGTCTGGGAGTGGAAGAATATGATAACAGTGAATATTTGTATACCTTTTGCTGTAAAATGATTTCTGTAGAATATACAGCTATATCTCTGACAGGTTGTCCCTCCGTAACTTGATGAATCATCATTACAATAACCGCTAGCACTGACTGGGACTGGACAAAACTGGACAAATCTTCTATCAGGTTCTCTCTTGATAAAAAATCCTGTAAACAAGTAAATAACAGGAATAAAAGGAGATACAGTAGATAAATCAATGAAATGGACTACATGTTTCATTCACTATATGCAGTACTGCAAAACAACATATTTTCAATTAAAGATCTTTCTTGCCAATTTCACAACTCAAGTCAAAAGTTTTATATTCAGGACTTTTTAACTTTGTTGATAGATTGATGTAAGAGGCCATCTGATTACTATACAGATCATATGACCATACTTTGCTTACAATCATCTGAAAACATTCTGTTCTATTTTCTGTCTGGTAGTTTTTACATCAGCCAATGAAATTTCTGCCTTCAAATTTTTTAAGGTACAATGTGACAAAACCTGAGGACCCCGAAAGGTCTGTAAAACATACTGTTCTATTTTCTGTTTGGTAGTTTATACATCAGCCAATGAAATTTCTGCCTTCAAATTTTTAAGGTACAATGTGACAAAACCTGAGGATCCCGAAAGGTCTGTAAAACATTCTGTTCTATTTTCTGTCTGAAAGTTTTTACATCAGCCAATGAAATTTCTGCCTTCAAATTTTTTAAGGTACACTGAGAAAAAACCCGAGGATCCCGAAAGGTCTGTTAAACAGAAAGTAGAATGGAGTCTAGTCAAATCCTTGTATAAACATAGGGTGGACACAGGATTTGTATTCAAATCAGATTGCCTTATATGAGGCTATCCAAGTTTGACATATTCATTTTATTTTTCTATTTGCAAAAGTCACAAAAATAAATCACTCTTGAAAACCAGTTGATTTACATTAAGTTCATATTCTAGGATGTGAACAGTTTTTCAAATACAAGGACTTAATGTTAATGTTTGCTCAAAATGATGGCCACAATACACTTTTTTCTTCTTTTCTTACAGTTTATTCTGAAAGACGCTACAAAACTAGGTTTGACCATCAAGAAGACCAAATAATTCTTTAGGCATATTAATATTTTCAAAAAATTTTGTATTTTTTTAATTGCATATCTGTAACACTGTTGACTGAAAGCAGAGCATTTTTAATGATACATTCTTCACAATAAACTTCAGACAATAGGATCCTTTTAGAAGCAATGGCCCAAATATCCATACAACAATTCAACTACTTTGATAACTTTGTAAAAGAACATTTGTAGTTGTATAATTTGCATATCTGACAAACATAGAGACTCTGAGGATACAATGTTTGCTTTTCAAGTTTATTTTTTCTTTTTGATCTAATTTTAACTGTTTTTGCATTTTATTATTTTTTTCTTGCTTGTTGTAGTTGAGCTTTAGAGTTTTGTAATGCAAGCCATAACAATATTTGAAATAACAGCCCTACATCACTTGTGAAGCCTTTTTCTTTTGTTATAATGTAAGAGCAAAGGATTTCTTTATTCCCCAATAAGGTTGTTTCTGATTTAAACCTATATGTTCAATTCATTGCTCATGAATGCAAAACATCTCTATAAGCATGTATAAATCCTTCATCACTACTCTGATATTAGAAAAAGATCTAAGTTGAACTAACTTGTGTCTAATCCTCCTTTGTGATATTGTGCAAATAAAATATGTTTAAACTAAACTTCTCTGCTCTAAAAATGATTACTTTTTTCCTTGTAGTTTCACAATAAAATGGAAGAGTTTTTTCCAGTGATTTACCAAACAAATATGATTTTAATATACAGTATATTTTGACATTGCCAAATAAATTACTGGTGATTCATAACAATAAGTGCTTGCTGAGGGAACTAATTTGCTAAATGTTGCATAAATAGACAATTTACAATTTCACTTCTAGTGAAATTAACCTTGTTTTAAAAGATGACTTTATTTGTCATGCTTGTAAATAAATAATTTTTACTATTAAAAAATGTAGCAAAAGAGGTTAAAGTTCACCATTGGAGAGTAGGTAACATTCATGTTTAATCCATTAATTCAGTACTTTAAGTTCAATATCCAATGGCAGCAGACCTCACTACAAAATTGAGTTCATTGGTTTAAATAGTAACTGTTTCAGGTGATGTTTTGCTAATGGGGTATCTACTCTTCAAAACTAGTGCAAATATTCTATAACTATTATTTTGTAATACTTAAATTATTGCAAGATATGAATAAAGTATTTTCAATTTACAATTTTTTCAATTATTTTTCAAATATCTTTGGTTACATTTAAATATAAAAGAAAATTCGTTTCTGATCAAAACATGGGAGATAATCCAGTATTGTACTGTATCTATTTATGTATTATGAATAATACAGGTATTACTTTTTATGTATCATTTAGATGAATGTTGTCTTTGGGCAAGATTTTTCATAATCTTATCAGATATCCTGTTTTGAACAGGTTAAAATAACGATAGAACTGTATTCATAAAATTTAGATAATCTTAAACAATTCCTTGTTAAAAAAAGGGTATGAATAATTTTCAAAACAAACAAATACAAACTAAAAAAAAAAAAAATATCACAGGGATGCCTATGTAATTAAAAAACTAATTTTACCTAGCCAAGTTAATGTGCATATCACATGTCAGGATTATAATCACCTTTTGTATAACAAGTTTTTGGTGCTGATATCTTTAAATTTGATGTGTTAATGGTTACTGTCTTATGGAAGTATATTCCACATTTTCTATCCATTAAAATCAAATAAATATACAAATAAACAGCAAACAATGGCTAAAGTGAGAGCCTTTGAACTTGGACCAGTAGTATAGATCATAATATACCTTTAAAGCCATCGTTTTTTTTTTAATCATTGGAATAAGCTTTTCTTCTGATGTTATTCAACAACTAAAAACTTGAAGAAATTGTCAAACTTTTGTGTAAAGAACGAAAGTTTGTTCTAAAAACCTAAATAAATATTCACCTGTAAACTAATACTGACAGAAGACATTGCTACTTTTATACTGGTTCCTGAGACTATCTTTAAATCTTTCTCTAATAATTCTAAGGTTGTCAACTCTGAAAAGTATACAATGTTAAAATATGATAAGAAAAATAAATACTGTTTAATGTTTAAAAGAGATGAATGTTTAACACCCAGTGGCAAATATTTCATACAAAAAATAACTAGACTGTGTCTCTCACCTTGGTCTATGTCAATATTCAAAAAAAATTTGCGATTTAAAGTGTCTATTTATCTATTATAATTTTTATCATATAAGGCAAAACACAAAATATTGGTTTAAATCGTCATCAAAGGGCAATAACTCTAATAAGGAGTCAACTGATGATTTAACCGTGTAGACTTATTAGTAGAACTTGTCTTACTGATCATTTTTGCAATTCAAAGTTTCTCTGTATCTGTTATAGTTATCAACATAAAAGGCAAGAATGTTAAACTAGAGGCTCTCAAGAGCCTGTGTCGCTCACCTGATTCTACTTTGGTTTTGGAAATCATGTAAAAATAGATTAAAATCATAACAGATTCCCTAATAATGATTGAGGCCAAATGTGGTTTAATATTGGCCCCGTAATTTAATTAAAAGCAGAAGACTTTTGTAAAGTTTACAGAAATTACTACTAAATTTATTGAAATTGTAGAAAATAACTTTATAAGGACAATAACTCCAACAAGTTTGCCAATTTTGCTTATGTTGACTTATGTGTAGATCTTCTTTTCTTGATATATTTGCAGTTTACAGTAGATCTCAATCTATAAAGATACATGTATTAAGGTTTTCATCAGCACCTCATAAGGAACATTTATGCCATGTTTGGTTTCATTCCATTCAGTGCTCCTCTAGAAGAAGCATTTGTATGTATTTCCCATAGGGTCTTATGTTAAACTAAGTCCCCTCCTGGCGGCCATCTTAAATGATAGTTCGGCTACAAAGTAACAACACTTGGTCAGCACCTCATTAGGAACATTCCTGCTATGTTTGGTTTCATTCTATTCAGTGGTTCTCTAGAAGAAAACATTTGTATGTATTTCCCGTAGGGTCCTATGTTAAACTTACTCCCCCTGCTGGCAGCCATCTTGGATGACAAATCAGCTACAAAGTAACAACACTTGGTCAACACCTCAAAAGAAATATTCATACCATGTTTGATTTCAATCCATTAAGCCGTTTTCTAGAAGAAGACATTTGTATATATTTCCCATAGGGTCCTTTGTTAAACTAAGTCCCCCTCTGGCGGCCATCTTGGATGATGGATTGGCTTCAAAGTAACAACACTTGGTAAGCACCTCATAAGAAACATTCATGCCATGTTTGGTTTCATTCCATTCAGTGGTTCTCTAAAGAAGACATTTGTATGCATTGTCCATAGGATCCTATGTTAAACGAAGTCCCCGCTTGGGGCCATCTTGGATGATGGATCGGCTACAAAGTAACAACACTTAGTCAGCACCTCATAAGGAACATTCATGCCATATTTGGTTTCATTCCATTAAGTGGTTCTCTAGAAGAAGTTCAAAATGTAAAAAGTTAATGATGACGATGGACGATGACGACGACAGAAAACGGACGCTAAGTGATGAGAAAAGCTCACTTGGCCCTTTCGGGCCAGGTGAGCTAAAAAAATGATTCTTAGGCAGATTGGTACTAAAGGGCAATAATTCCTATAAGTCGTCTGACAGTTTTGACTTCAATGAACAATTGGTAGAGCTCAACATTCTAAACATTTTTGCACCTGTCAGATTTTCTCTATTTATAACGGTTTTAAAAATAATAGACAAAACTTGCATTTTACCCCTATGTTCTATTTTTAGCCATGTCAGCCATCTTGGTTGGCCGGCGGGGTCATCGGACAAATTTATAAACTAGATACCCCAATGATGATTGTGGCCAAGTTTGGTTAAATTTGGCACAATAGTTTCAGAGGAGAAGATTTTTGTAAAAGTTAACGACGACGACGCTGGATGCCAAGTGATGTGAAAAGCTCACTTGGCCCTTTGGGCCAGGTGACCTAAAACTAACATGTTAATGGGATATAAATATGAGCCCTGCTCTGTACAAGACTTTATAGCTAAAAGTTATATATTTACTAGCTGTATTTTTCAAGCTGCTGGCTCTAAGATGAAACAGTTCATAGGAAGAAATGTCACCCTACAAAGGGACATAATTTTGACTCTGAGGTGACCAGTCTTTACTCTTAAGTAACGGTAAAGGACCGACAGACGAACTGATGCACAGAACGAAAAACATTATGCCCCACTTAGGGGCATAAAAATTTGAAAAGCCTGCCCACTGCCTGCTGTAATTCCCCAAATCAATAACAGGATTTTTCCTGAGGAATACACAGTTAATAAAATGCTCTGCTGGGCACAGCTTGATACGACCGCAGAGGTCGAACCCTGAACAGTTGGGGCAAGTATGGACACAACATTCAAGCTTGATACAGCACTGAATTTGGATTGTGATTAAATATTTGACACAGCATAGGTTTCTGTTACAGAATGAATGTGGTCTAAGAAGTAAAAAAATTTTATTTTACCTATTGAAACCATATCATTATTATTTGCTTTTATATATAAATCAGAAATTACAAATTTAAAATGGAAAATTTTACAGAAAAAAAAGGAAAAAAGGAAAAAAATATCCCCCCCCCCCAAAATATTTTGAACCCCCTTATGATTCATCCCCCCAAACTCAATCCCAGCCTTCCCTTTGTGGTATGGTATCTTGAAGTACAATTTCAGAGAGATACATACACTTGAACACAAGTTATTGTCTGGAAACTAGAAAAATGCTTGTTTTTTGGCCCCAAATTCCTAAACGTTTAGGGCATTTACCCCCAAACTCAAACCCAGCTTTCCCTTTGTGATATGGAACCTTGTAGTACAATTTCATAAAGATCCATACACTTACACACAAGTTATTGTCCTGAAACTAGAAAAATGCTTGTTTTTTGCCCCTTTTTGACCCCTAATTCCTAAAATGTTGAGTCAATTACCCCCAAAATCAATCCCAGCCTTCCCTTTGTGGTATGGTTCCTTGCAGTACAATTTCAGAAAGATCCATACACTTACACACAAGTTATTGTCCTGAAATTATAACAAGAGTGCACAAGCTGAAATGTCTCGCCTTCTTTACTAACCATTGATATTATGTTGATAGTCCTAAATATAAAGCTTTACTACAACTATCACATAAACTTTACATGATCCAAGAAAATGAGGTCAAGGTCATATAAACCGAAAGAGAAATACATGTACACCTTACAATCATTCAATACACTAAATATAGTTGACCTATTGCTTATAGTTTCTAAGAAACAGACTTAACCAAGACAAAGTTCAGCAGGAAAACTTAACATTGACCAATGAGCCATGTAAATCAGGTCAAGGTCATATGATATCTGGCAGACAGACATAAACACCTCATAAACATTCCATACATCAAATATAGTTCACTTATCAAAAACAGTATAAGAATAAAAATGGAACAAGAAACTCAAAAACTTAACTTTGACCACTGAACCATGAAAATGAGGTCAAGGTCAGATGACACCTGCCAGCTAGACATGTACACCGTACAATCATTCCATACACCAAATATTGTAGACCTATTGCAAACAGTATGAGAAAAACAGACTATAACACAAAAACTTAAGTAAAACCACCAAACCATGAAAATGAGGTCATGGTCAGATGACATCTGCCAACTAGACATGTACACCTTACAATCATTCCATACACCAAATATAGTAGACCTATTGCATACAGTATAAGAAAAACAGACCAAAACACAAGAACTTAACACTGATCAATGAACCGTGAAAATGAGGTCAAGGTCAAATGAAACCTGTGCGACTGCATATAGATCATTAAATATTTCCATACACCAAAAATAGTTGACCTATTGCATATAGTATTAGAAAAAAAGACCAAAACTCAAAAATTTAACTTTGACCACTGAACCATGAAAATGAGGTCAAGGTCAGATGACACCTGCCAGCTAGACACATACACCTTACAATCATTCCATACACCAAATATAGTAGACCTATTGCATACAGTATAAGAAAAACAGACCAAAACACAAAAACTTAACTATAACCACTGAACCAACAAAATGAGGTCAAGGTCAGATGACACCTGCCAGTTGGACATGTACACCTTACAGTCCTTCCATACATCGAATATACTAGACCTATTTATATAGTATCTGAGATATGGAGTTGACCACCAAAACTTAACCTTGTTCACTGATCCATGAAATGAGGTCGAGGTCAAGTGAAAACTGTCTGACAGGCATGAGGACCTTGCAAGGTCAAACATACCAAATATAGTTATCCTATTACTTATAATAAGAAAGAATTTAATATTACAAAAAATGTTAACTTTTTTTTCAAGTAGTCACTGAACCATAAAAATGAGGTCAAGGACATTGGACATGTGACTGACGGAAACTTCGTAACATGAGGCATCCATATACAAAGTATGAAGCATCCAGGTCTTCCACCTTCTAAAATATAAAGCTTTTAAGAAGTTAGCTAACGCTGCCGCCGCCGCTGGATCACTATCCCTATGTCGAACTTTCTGCAACAAAAGTCGCAGGCTCGACAAAAATGCTTGTTTTTTTGCCCCTTATTCCTAAAATTTAGAGGCAATTACCCCCAAAATCAATCCCAGCATTCCCTTTGTGATATGGAACCTTGACGTGGTAAAATGTCAGAGAGATCCATACACTAACACACAAGTTATGTCCGGAAGATACAAAAATTTTTGGCCCCTAATTCCTTAACTGTTGGTACCATAACCCCCACCTTCCTTTTGTGGTATTGAACCTTATGTTAAAATTTCATAGAGATCCATTCTATTAAACTAAAGTAAGAGTGCGAAAACCAATGTGTCTTCGGATGACGACGACTACGCCAACGTCATACCAATATACGACCGCAAAATGTTTTTGCGGTCGTATAAAAATCTAAAAGTTAACATGCACTAATAAAAATGCTGCCAAACAGTTTTCTGTTTATTAAGTTTCTAAATTTGCCTAAATGAACTTGATTTGTCTGAAGGGATTCTAAACATTTCCTCTTTTGAAGATAATAAGCTGTAAATTAGCAGGTTTCTAGAAATACAGACATCAAAATATATAATAATCATTCTACCTTGTATAATACCTTGGACATATATAAATTGTTTAGGAGGGTTTTCTGTGTAATAATGCCTTTAATGCTGTCAACTATACTGGATGTTAAGGCATACGATACAGTTTTGATCCCACAGTGATTTTTAACGAAAATTTGCAAACAAGCTATTTTGCATATTTATCTAATTTAAAAAAAAATCATCTGTGATTTTTTCATAAAAATTGGTACAAAAAATCTTCATGCAGTATCAAGTCAAATGTCCTTTTAAAAAAGAAGGGTTTGTGTTCTCGTTTTCAAGCTAACGATTAAAATCACTCAAAAAATGCATCTTTTCCCGATATGTTCCCTTTGACGTGGCGAAATATAACATATTACATTAGCAACGTCATTACCTCCCCTGTAACTGTATCTTATGCCCTCAATCAATGAGAAATAGGACTTCAAACATGTTGAAAGGTGAACAATTTGTTTATGTTATTAAGATATCAAAATGTTGAACACATCAACTGCTTTTGTCAAACGATTTAAAAGTAAGAGACAGTACACAACAACAGATTTAATACAACTTCAAGAGAGGTTATTCTCACAGATAGAATGTCCAGAATATTGCCAAATTTTTAGTTTTGTATGAATGTTTGCAAATCCTAAAAAACATATGATTCCTCATTTAAAAAAGAATAAACATAATACATAAGGTCCCCAATCTATCCACATGCCACTGACAAAACTTTGGTTTACTAAGTGAATCAATGTATTTATTTCATAGAGGTCCTAATGTTTCTAAGTTATATGTTATTTGGGATCTTCACAGGGGATATGGGCTCATATTCTCTGTTTTTGTTTTATATATACTGAGCCGTCAGTCTAAAGGGATATATTCCCTGTCATTGTTTTATATATACTGAGCCGTCAGTCTAAAGGGATATATTCCCTGTCATTGTTTTAAATATACTGAGCCGTCAGTCTAAAGGGATATATTCCCTGTCATTGTTTTATATATACTGAGCCGTCAGTCTAAAGGGATATATTTCCTGTCATTATTTTATATATACTGAGCCGTCAGTCTAAAGGGATATATTCCCTGTCATTGTGAACCAAGGCTCCGTGTTGAAGGCCGTACTTTGACCTATAATGGTTCACTTTTACAAATTGTACGATCCTATTTAAAATTTGTATCCCGTAGTACATTGAAAATAGAGGTTCACATATACCCAATAAATACATGAAAATAGAGGTTCACATATACCCAATAAATACATGAAAATAGAGGTTCACATATACCCAATAAATACATGAAAATAGAGGTTCACATATACCCAATAAATACATGAAAATAGAGGTTCACATATACCCAATAAATACATGAAAATAGAGGTTCACATATACCCAATAAATACATGAAAATAGGTATACCACAAACTATAATGAATCTACATTAATTAAAAACTAATGTCTGTTTCTAAGCCTTCTGTATAGAGTTAAAAAGTTACCACTAATGTCTGTTTCTAAGCCTTCTGTATAGAGTTAAAAAGTTACCACTAATGTCTGTTTTAGCCTTCTGTATAGAGTTAAAAAGTTACCACTAATGTCTGTTTTAGCCTTCTGTATAGAATTAGAAAGTTACCACTAATGTCTGTTTTAGCCTTCTGTATAGAATTAAAAAGTTACCACTAATGTCTGTTTTACCCTTCTGTATAGAGTTAAAAAGTTACCACTAATGTCTGTTTTACCCTTCTGTATAGAGTTAAAAAGTGACCACTAATGTCTGTTTTAGCCTTCTGTATAGAGTTAAAAAGTTACCACTAATGTCTGTTTTAGCCTTCTGTATAGAGTTAAAAAGTGACCACTAATGTCTGTTTTAGCCTTCTGTATAGAATTAAAAAGTTACCACTAAAAAGTTACCACTAATGTCTGTTTTAGCCTTCTGTATAGAGTTAAAAAGTTACCACTAATGTCTGTTTTAGCCTTCTGTATAGAGTTAAAAAGTTACCACTAATGTCTGTTTTAGCCTTCTGTATAGAATTAAAAAGTTACCACTAATGTCTGTTTTAGCCTTCTGTATAGAGTTAAAAAGTGACCACTAATGTCTGTTTTAGCCTTCTGTATAGAGTTAAAAAGTGACCACTAATGTCTGTTTTAGCCTTCTGTATAGAATTATAAAGTTACCACTAATGTCTGTTTTACCCTTCTGTATAGAGTTAAAAAGTTACCACTAATGTCTGTTTTAGCCTCCTGTATAGAATTAAAAAGTTACCACTAATGTCTGTTTCTAAGCCTTCTGTATAGAGTTAAAAAGTTACCACTAATGTCTGTTTCTAAGCCTTCTGTATAGAGTTAAAAAGTTACCACTAATGTCTGTTGTAGCCTTCTGTATAGAGTTAAAAAGTTACCACTAATGTCTGTTTTAGCCTTCTGTATAGAGTTAAAAAGTTACCACTAATGTCTGTTTTAGCCTTCTGTATAGAGTTAAAAAGTTACCACTAATGTCTGTTTTAGCCTTCTGTATAGAGTTAAAAAGTTACCACTAATGTCTGTTTTAGCCTTCTGTATAGAGTTAAAAAGTTACCACTAATGTCTGTTTTAGCCTTCTGTATAGAGTTAAAAAGTTACCACTAATGTCTGTTTTAGCCTTCTGTATAGAATTAAAAAGTTACCACTAATGTCTGTTTTAGCCTTCTGTATAGAGTTAAAAAGTTACCACTAATGTCTGTTTTAGCCTTCTGTATAGAGTTAAAAAGTTACCACTAATGTCTGTTTTAGCACTAATGTCTGTTTTAGCCTTCTGTATAGAATTAAAAAGTTACCACTAATGTCTGTTTTAGCCTTCTGTATAGAATTAAAAAGTTACCACTAATGTCTGTTTTAGCCTTCTGTATAGAATTAAAAAGTTACCACTAATGTCTGTTTTAGCCTTCTGTATAGAATTAAAAAGTTACCACTAATGTCTGTTTTAGCCTTCTGTATAGAGTTAAAAAGTTACCACTAATGTCTGTTTTAGCCTTCTGTATAGAGTTAAAAAGTTACCACTAATGTCTGTTTTAGCCTCCTGTATAGAGTTAAAAAGTTACCACTAATGTCTGTTTTAGCCTTCTGTATAGAATTAAAAAGTTACCACTAATGTCTGTTTTAGCCTTCTGTATAGAGTTGTACAGATCATCTCCATTGATTTCAGGTAACATCTCCTTCAGCTTGTCAGTCATGGCTACGTCTTGGTCTGTCATCTTGTGGGCGGCAGGACTTAGGTTCACTGTATCAATTAGGATAGCACCTGAAATTAAATGTTTAATTCTAATTTCTTCTTTATAAGAAATAAAAGATATTCTGTTGACACAGAGATATTTCTCACTTTCATGTAATTTTGATAGAATAAAGCAAATGTTGAAATTAAAATTCATAAAAGTTTCGCGGAACCCAGTGTCTCGCCTACTTTTGCTGTTGTTTATGTTTTCAGCGGCATAGTGAATGCACATAATAGATTTACAGTTAATGAAATAAGATGTTTGAAATGTATGAAAAAAGTTATGCTTGTAAAAAATGGATACAGTATGCAATCAAATCTATAGATTTATAAAAGAGTTGAAACATAAATTTATTGAATGAACAAATGATAAAGAAGATAATTTTTACATTGCTTGATGATGTATCCCTTAAATCTGAAATGTAGGATTGCTATGTCTCGCTTTTGTCGCAGGCTCAACAAAAATGGGGAAAAAATTATTAAAAATTTTCCTGTAGATACTATCTTTTGATTGTAAGAAGCTTCCGTCCAAGTTCGCTAAAAATCCAGGATGGTTTATGAATGTAATGAATATTTTAAAAATTTTAACTGCAGACTGTATGTAATATTAACTGGAAGAAAAACTAAGTCCATTGATAAGTAATATACGGAAAAATAGGAAATAAATTTTTACAAAATTTCCTTCTAGATACTAGCTTTTGATCATAAACAAGCTTCTGTCCAAGTTTGGTACAAATCCCGAAAAGTTTAAGAAAGTTATTAAAATTTTTATTACTTTAACCACATGTACAGAGTGAATGTAATGTTAACTGGCAGAAAAAACTAAGTCCTTTTATAAGTAAATTACGGATAAACAGGATTTTTTTTTACAAAATTTACTTCTGGATACTATCTTATGATCATAAACAAGCTCCTGTCCAAGTTTGGTAGAAATCCAGGATAGTTTAAGAAAGTTATTAAAATTTCAAAAACTTTAACCACAGAGTAAATATTTGTGGACGCCGCTGCCTTCTGACGGAATGTAGGATCATTATGTCTCGCTTTTGCGACAAAATTCGCAGGCTTGACAAAAATGGCACTACTTTAACATGTAAACTATGCAAAACAGTCATAGTCAATGAACCATGACTGAAGGTGCAGGGCCCACCCTTGGAAATGAGAATTGCCAATGCTTATAAAACCGCATACCAAATGCCATTGACTTTTTATAAGTGGTTACCTTTGAACTAACCTAAACACAAACTTTAACATGTAAACTATGCAAAAGTTTCAAAGTCAGCAAATTATGATGAGGGGGCCAGGCTATTATAATCTTCATGAGACTTGCAAATTCTTATTTAACTGCATACCTGAAAATTTCATTGACTTAACATTAATGGTTCAACCTAATCACAAACTTTAACTTGTTAATTATGCAAAACATTTGAAGTCAATAGACCATGACTGAGGGGGTGTGGCAAATACTAATACATTTACATACCAAAATATTATTGACCTATCACTAGTCGTCCTTCTTAAACTGACCAAATCACAAATTAATACATGCAAAATAAAGCAAAAGTTTAAAAGTTAATAGACCATGACTGAGGGTGCAAGGCCAAATAATCTTCATGGAAATGAGATGTGCCAATACTAATATAACTGCATACAAACTATCATTGACCTACAACTAGTGGTTCCCAATTAAATGATCTCATAACAAACTAATACACACCAACACCAGAGACAGCCAGATAAGTCTCCTTTTTCCAGGACATCCATTGTAAGACAAAAATGATGCAAAAATAAACAGATGCACTCTTTTATAACAAATATGAGAAATATTTAAAAATCTATTTTTATATAAATAAATTATACAGAACAAGAATGTCTCCATAGTACATGGATCCCCCACTCGCACTATCATTTTTTTTGTTCAGTGGACTATGAAATTGGGGTCAAAACTCTAATTTGGCATTAAAATTAGAAAGATCATATCATAGGGAACATGTGTACTAAGTTTCAAGTTGATTGGACTTCAACTTCATCAACAAGAGTGCACACGCTGAAATGTCTCGCCTTCTTTACTAATCATTGATATTATGTTGATAGTCCTAAATATAAAGCTTTACTACAACTATCACATACACTTAACATGATCCAAGAAAATGAGGTCAAGGTCATATAAACCAAACAAGAAATACATGTACACCTTACAATCATTCAATACACTAAATATAGTTGACCTATTGTTTATAGTTTCTAAGATACAGACTTAACCAAGAAAACTAAACATTGACCAATGAACCAAGAAAATGAGGTCAAGGTCAGATGAACAATGCCAGGCAGACATGTACTACAGCTTGCAATCCTTCCATACAACAAATATAGTTGACCTATTGCTTATAGTATTAGAAAAACAGACCAAAACACAAAAACTTAACACTGAGCAATGAACCGTGAAAATGAGGTCAAAGTAAAAAAACCTGCAAGACTGACAGGTACATCATAAGATATTTCCATACACCAAATATAGATGACCTATTGCATAAAGTATTAGAAAAAAAGACCAAAACTCAAAAACTTAACTTTGACCACTGAACCATGAAAATGAGGTCAAGGTCAGAAGACACCTGCCCGCTAGACATGTACACCTTACAATCATTCCATACACCAAATATAGTAGACCTATGGCATACAGTATAGGTAAAACAGACCAAAACACAAAAACTTAACTATAACCACTGAACCATGAAAATGAGGTCAAGGTCAGATGACACCTGCCAGTTGGACATGTACACCTTACAGTCCTTCCATACACCGAATATACTAGACCTATTGCTTATAGTATCTGAGATATGGACTTGACCACCAAAACTTAACCTTGTTCATTGATCCATGAAATGAGGTCGAGGTCAAGTGAAAACTGTGTGACGGGCATGAGGACCTTGCAAGGTACGCACATACCAAATATAGTTGAACTATTGCATATAGTATTAGAAAAAAAGACCAAAACTCAAAAACTTAACTTTGACAACTGAACCATGAAAATGAGGTCAAAGTCAGATGACACCTGCCCGCTAGACATGTACACCTTACAATCATTCCATACACCAAATATAATAGACCTATGGCATACAGTATAAGAAAAACAGACCAAAACACAAAAACTTAACTATAACCACTGAACCATGAAAATGAGGTCAAGGTCAGATGACACCTGCCAGTTGGACATGTACACCTTACAGTCCTTCCATACACTGAATATACTAGACCTATTGCTTATAGTATCTGAGATATGGACTTGACCACCAAAACTTAACCTTGTTCACTGATCCATGAAATAAGGTCGAGGTCAAGTGAAAACTGTCTGATGGGCATGAGGACCTTGCAAGGTACGCACATACCAAATATAGTTATCCTATTACTTATAATAAGAGAGAATCTAACATTACAAAAAATCTTAACTTTTTTTTCAAGTAGTCACTGAACCATGAAAATGAGGTCAAGGACATTGGACATGTGACTGACGGAAACTTCGTAACATGAGGCATCCATATACAAAGTATGAAGCATCCAGACCTTCCACCTTCTAAAATATAAAGCTTTTAAGAAGTTAGCTAACGCCGCCGCCGCCATAGCCGCCGCCGCCGCCGCCGCCGTATCACTATCCCTATGTCGAGCTTTCTGCAACAAAAGTCGCAGGCTCGTCAAAAACTACCTTGACCAAAAACTTTAACCTGAAGCGGCACAGACGGACGTATGCACAAACGGACGCACAGACCGAAAAACATAATGCCTCTCTACTATCCTAGGTGAGGCATAAAAATATCAATGATCTTGTGTAAACACTACATTCTCCAAATAACCAAAAAAAAAAAATTCGTAAGGGTTCCACGGAACCCAGTGTCTCGCCTACTTTTTCTGTTAATTGCAGGCTCAACAAAAATGAGGAAGTAAATCAATAAAAATATTCCTCTTGATACTATCTTTTGATTGTAAGAAGCTTCTGTCCAAGTTTGGTAAAATTCCAGAATAGTTTATGAATCTATTAAATGTTTAAAAACTTTAACTGCAGACTGAATGTAATGTTAATTGGAAGAAAACAAAATTTCCTTCTAGATACTAGCATTTGATCATAAACAAGCTTCTGTCCAAGTTTGGTACAAATCCAAAATAGTATAAGAAAGTTATTAAAATTTTAAAACTTTAACCACAGAGTGAATGTGTTGTTTCCTGGCGGAAAATCTAAGTCCATTTAAAAGTAAAATAAGGAAAAAATAGATTTATTTTTTTACAAAATTTACTTCTGGATACTATCTTATGATCATAAACAAGCTTCTGTCCAAATTTCGTACAAACCCAGGATAGTTTAAGACAGTAATTAAAATTTAAAAAACTTATACCACAGAGTGAATGTAATATTTCCCGGCAGAAAAACTAAGTCCATTTATAAGTAAAATACAGAAAAAATGGAATTTTATTTTTACAAAATTTACTTCTGGATACTATCTTATGATCATAAACAAGCTTCTGTCCAAGTTTGGTAGAAATCCAGGATAGTTTAAGAAGGTTATTAAAATTTCAAAAACTTTAACCACAGAGTGAATATTTGTGGACGATGCCGACGACAACGACGACAGAATGTAGGATCGCTATGTCTCGCTTTTTCGACTAAAGTCGAAGGCTCAACAAAAATCAAATCAATAAAACATGAATCAACTGTACTTACAAAGTAAATTTTCCAATAATTCTAGTGTTAATAGAGCACATATGTTACATATGTTTTCCTGTTAACATCTAGTTGTTCAATTTACAATAATATATGAATAATATTTCAATCAAATTTATCATGCCTGATCTTAAACATTTTAAATCTAATAGTTTAAAATAAAATAAATGACCTTAATATGATTCTGAGATTGATTCAGGTGACATGTGTTTTGTATTGAAATGAAGACAGATAGCGTTCAATGTTACAGCTATTTAAATAGTTGTATTTAATTATAAAACTGATGTAACAAATAAAGAATGCTGAATGTTTGAGGAATTTCAATTTAAAATCAGTTCAAATGTATTCAAATTGTATAAAAACTTGAGTGCAAATTCCTCAACAATGAACACTGTATTCAAATTGTACAAAAACTTGAGTGCAAATTCCTCAACAATGAACAAAACTCATACCATATGAATATTAAAATAAGGAGATGTGGTACGATTGCCAACGAGACAACTATCTACCAAAGTTCAAATGACAAAGTTCAAGGAATTATAGTGTGTCATAGTACAGCTGTTAACAATAAGAAAAACCCATACTGTATAGCTAGCCTCAAGCTTTCATTATGCATGCTTCAATGCAAAGAATTCCACTCAAACTAGTACAGTAACTTGCAGTGAATTGGGAACTTTTACTCTAGATCTGTATTGAAGACTTTAAGAGCAAGAACAGCTAAAATAGTTCTGTTCCTTTGCTTAGCTTTTGTCATGGCCTGGTCATGTACAGATTTGGTGCTATGAATTAATACACTATCGCAAGTGGGAGGTTTAGATAGTTTCAAAATCAGGTATTTGCAACCACCATTTTTGTCGAGCCTTCGACTTTTGTCGAAAAAGCGAGACATAGCGATCCTACATTCCGTCGGCGTCGTCGTCGTCGTCGGCGGCGTCCACAAATATTCACTCTGTGGTTAAAGTTTTTGAAATTTTAATAACTTTCTTAAACTATCCTGGATTTCTACCAAACTTGGACAGAAGCTTGTTTATGATCATAAGATAATATTCAAAAGTAAATTTTGTAAAAAAAAAATTCCATTTTTTCCGTATTTTACTTATAAATGGACTTAGTTTTTCTGCCAGGAAACATTACATTCACTCTGTGGTTAAAGTTTTTGAAATTTTAATAACTTTCTTAAACTATCCTGGATTTCTACCAAACTTGGAAAGAAGTTTGTTTATGATCATAAGATAGTATCCAGAAGTAAATTTTGTAAAAAAAAATTCCATTTTTTCCGTATTTTACTTATAAATGGACTTAGTTTTTCTGCCAGTTAACATTACATTCACTCTGTGGTTAAAGATTTTAAAATTTTAACAACTTTCTTAAACTATCCTGGATTTGTACCAAACTTGGACAGAAGCTTGTTTATGATTAAAAGATAGTATCCAGAAGTAAATTTTGTAAAAAAAAAAATCCATTTTTTCCGTATTTTACTTATAAATGGACTTAGTTTTTCTGCCAGTTAACATTACATTCACTCTGTGGTTAAAGTTTTTAAAATTTGAACAACTTTCTTAAACTATCCTGGATTTGTACCAAACTTAGACAGAAGCTTGTTTATGATTAAAAGCTAGTATCTAGAAGGAAATTTTGTTCCATTTTTTCCGTATTTTACTTATAAATGGACTTAGTTTTTCTTCCAGTTAACATTACATACAGTCTGCAGTTTAAGTTTTTAAAACATTTATTAGATTCATAAACTATCCTGGATTTTTACCAAACTTGGACAGAAGCTACTTACAATCAAAAGATAGTATAGAGAGGAATATTTTTATTAATTTTTTTCCTCATTTTTGCTGAGCCTGTGATTAACAGCAAAAAGTAGGCGAGACACTGGGTTCCGCGGAACCCTTACGAATTTTTATCATAAATGCCTGTACCAAGTCAGGCATATGATAGTTGTTTTCCAGTTGTTTCATTAGTTGATATAGTGGAGCCTTTAATTTTGTAAGGTTTTATGAACCTTTCCCTTTTTAATTTATCTTGGAGTTATGTATTTTGGTAATACATTTTCCCCTCTTTTCCACTATATTTTCACCATTACTTACCATACAGAAAGGTAAGAGCTGTCTTGTCAAAGGTCAAATCTGTCCTACTAAAAAATTCTTCAGCGACTAATGTAGCACATGATCCAACTTTGGCTATGTTGATCTTTACTCTATAATGAAAAAAATAATGTGTCAAATTAGAAATCTGTCATGACCTATGACCCTCTGATATCTGTATACCCTATATGGGCAATGAAAGGTTGGGTTGCACTTCTTTAGAAGATAAAGGCAATAATTATACAACAGCTTGATTTCAATTGTAACAGTTATCATTTCAATAACTTCCAAAATGATTTAGCTTATGGACACAAATACATTCTCTAGTAAATTTTATAGTATTCTGTACAAATCAATACTTTTCAATTGTATACATTTCTTTGTAAATGATGCCCCATTTGAGTACACAATCATACAGAAATGGAAATGGAAATCTTAATAAAATAAAATAAAGCATATTTTTTGGTTTTTTTTTTGCCAAGAGATATCTAGAAGTCAATGTAAAGTCTACAGCAATAGACAGGTCCGACCACAAATTGTTGTGAAGAATTATAACAGAAAGTATAAAATATCTGCCATCAACACTAAATTATCTACACAAATAGCAAACACGTTAAGATATGACCTTATAGACAGCTATTGTTCAGGTACCAATCTTGGGACAGGCACACTGTACCTATGGTTGTTCTAATTTTTTTGGTAGAGGCAAACTTAAGTTATAGAATGGAAATGAAAAATTCAGCAATTTTTCCATTTGTAAAGGAGCATATAACTCTAGAAAGGTAAAAGTGACGCCACCGAAATTCAAACTTGATCTGTGTTTTAAAATTCTGCAATTTTTCCATTTGTAAAGGAGCATAACTCTAGAAAGGTAAGAGTAACGCCACCCAAATTTAAACTTGATCTGTGTTTTGTGGAAAAAAGCATTGTGTATAAGATTCATAACATTTAGTTGAGGCAAACTTAAGTTATAGAACAGAAATGAAAAATCCAGCAATTTTTCCATTTGTAAAGGAGCATTATGAACTCTAGAAAGGTAAAAGTGACCCCACCCAAATTTGAAATTGATCTGTGTTTTGTCGAAATAAGCATTGTGTATAAGATTCATAATATTTGGCTGAGGCAAACTTAAGTTATAGAATGGAAATGAAAAATCAGCAATTTCTCCATTTGTAAAGGGGCATAACTCTAGAAAGGTAAAAGTGACACTACCCAAATTCAAACTTGATCTGTGTTTTGTGGTTATAATATTGTGTATAAGATTCATTACATTTGGTTGAGGAAAACTAAGGTTAAAGAACGGAAACCAATATCAGGACGTACGGATGAACGGATGTTTAGACGGACAAGTGTAAAACTTAATGCCCCCTTCGCTACAGCGGGGGCAGAAAAAGGCCATCTGATACAGCTGTTTATGTATAAATATCGATAAAAACTCTAATTATATTTCATTGTCCCTTCAAAAATATCCATGACATTTAAAAGCACAGCAGTAAGCCTTTTCAGTGTTACCATTTAAAACCAAAACATCCATAAGACAAATTTCAATCATTTCTCCAATCATTTCTGTTCTGTAAATGTCTACAGGGATTTCATAACAGTATTTATTGAGTGGTAATATCATAGATATGACAAAAGTATGAAAGCTAGTGACAGAAATTATTATGGATTTAATCACTAAATACAATTGAGATGATGAACTGAATCTGAGAGCCTAAATTGACCACCTTTCAAGAATATGCCATTTTGATATTTATTTTCACCTTGCTTGCAATCAAAATGTTGGTTTTTTTCAATTCATTTTAAAATGTTTTCAATTTAAATGCTTTTTGAGTGCATTCACGTAAAATGAAGGCAATCAAATTATTTTTTTCTTCAGTAACAAGATCTGATTATTTATTTGAAAACTTAAACAAAAGGATAAAATAAATCATTATTAAAAATCTTCACTTCAAATAAACAGTCATCACAATATGTGATACATGTACTATGCAATGTACTGAAAAGATTTGTAGATCTAAATAAATAATTTGGTGCATGGGTTCTTTAATCTTGCTGTCTATAGTTTCTCAGTATCAATATTTTCAAGAATTATTAATAATATTTATCACTTAAGACCATAAATCTTCTAACTGTGAATGCTATACAAAAAAGATTGCAAATATTTCTGAAAGCTCTTAACATAAGGAGCCCTAGACAGAATAATATCATCAAAACTGAACCACATATGAAAACTGTATGTACAATATGAATGGTATATTTTCAGCCCTTCCACCTTTATTATTTGAAAAAACGTAAGAGCAATCACAAATTAAAAACCAATTGTTCAGAGAACATTTGAAGGTCTTTCCACATCAATTTTCTAAATTATTGATGAGAAGCATTACTTCCGGTTTCCTCAAAGTTACTATTGGCGTCCAAGCATAGGTTTCTTCATACTGATTCAATAAATTAATGTTGCTTTATATTTTTGCCTGAAATAAGGGAGATAATTGTCAACTTCCGTTTTTTAAAAATGTCACTTCTGGTCTTACATGATAGCTTTATTTACACTAATTCCAAAAATATATGGTTTCTATATACTTTTGCCTGTAATAAAACATTGTTGGTCATATGTCAACCAACAGTTTGCAAAAGACCCTATGGCTTTATCATGTACCAACTTGGAGTAATAATCAATTAACCTTAAATTGAATCATTTCAGGGACAATAACTCCTATAAGATGTCATTGGATTGTTTCAGACCAAATGTATTAATCTTAATCACAATTTGGCAAACATTTTGCACTAGTTCTTTTATATATATATCTTTAAAAGTGACAGAGGAGATCAAATAACAAGGAAAAGTAAAAATTTTGAATTTGACCTTGACCTTTGACCTTGGCCTCAATTTCATTTAAATGAACCAAGGACCTCAAATCAATATACCTTAGGTCTCTATCACTAACCATTCATGCTATATATTTATATATCCCTTATGTCAAATACAGAAGGGGAAATAACTCTCATATGGAGTTTTTGTATCGCTTCCGTCAAAATTGGTCAAAACATTCTGATGATATAACAAGCAATTTGGTAAAATAAATTTGTTGCTTTCTTTTACGATTACGGAGGAGATGCACTTACAAGGAAAACAGTGTTCAGGGAGATAACTCCTACAAAGAAAAGTATTCTGTTAAGCAGGGTCAATTTCAAGAAATAAAAGTGGCAGAAGAAGAAAAACTAGAGGCTCTCAAGAGCCTGTGTCGCTCACCTGACTCTACTTTGGTTTTAGAAATCATGTAAAAATAGATAAAAATCATAACAGATACCCAAATAATGATTGAGGCCAAATTTTGATTAATATTGGTCCCGTTATTTAATAAAATATCCTGGTGGCCATCTTGAACAGTAAATCGGCAACAAAGTAGCAACACTTGGTCAGCACTTCATAAGGAACATTCATGCCATGTTTGGTTTCATTCCATTAAGTGGTACTCTAAAAGAAGACATTTGTATGTATTTCCCATAGGGTCCTATGTTAAACTAAGTCCCCCGCTGTCGGCCATCTTGGATGATGGATCGGCTGCAAAGTAACAACACTTGGTCAACATCTCATAAGGAACATTCATGCCATGTTTGGTTCCATTCCATTTATTGGTTCTCCAAACGAAGACATTTTCATGTATTTCCCAAAGGGTCCTATGTAAAACTAAGTCCCCCGCTGGCGGCCATCTTGAATGATGGATCAGCTACAAAGTAACAACACTTGGTCAGCATCTCATAAGGAAGATTCATGCCATGTTTGGTTTCATTCCATTCAGTGGTTCTCTAAAAGAAGACATTTGTATGTATTTCCCATAGGGTCCTATGTTAAACTAAGTCCCCCGCTGGCAGCCATCTTGGATGATGGATCGGCTACAAAGTAACAACACTTGGTCAGAACCTCATAAGGAACATTCATGCCATGTTTGGTTTCATTCCATTCAGTGGTTCTCTAAAAGAAGACATTTGTATGTATTTCCCATAGGGTCCTATGTTAAACTAAGTTCCCCGATGGCAGCCATCTTGGATGATGGATCGGCTACAAAGTAACAACACATGGTCAGCACCTCATAAGGAACATTCATGCCATGTTTGGTTTTATTCCATTCAGTGGTTCTCTAAAAGAAGTCATTTGTATGCATTTCCCATAGGGTCCTATGTTAAACTAAGTCCCCCGCTGGCGGCCATCTTGGATGAGGGATCGGCTACAAAGTAACAACACTTGGTGAGCACCTAATAAGGAACATTCATGCCATGTTTTGTTTCATTCCATTCAGTGGTTCTCTAAAAGAAGTCATTTGTATGCATTTCCCATAGGGTCCTATGTTAAACTAAGTCCCCCGCTGGCGGCCATCTTGGATGATGGATCGGCTACAAAGTAACAACACTTGGTCAGCACCTTATAAGGAACATTCATGCCATGTTTGGTTTCATTCCATTCAGTGGTTCTCTAAAAGAAGACATTTGTATGTATTTCCCATAGGGTCCTATGTTAAACTAAGTTCCCCGATGGCGGCCATCTTGGATGATGGATCGGCTACAAAGTAACAACACTTGGTCAGCACCTCATAAGGAACATTCATGCCATGTTTGGTTTCATTCCATTCAGTGGTTCTCTAAAAGAAGTCATTTGTATGCATTTCCCATAGGGTCCTATGTTAAACTAAGTTCCCCGATGGCGGCCATCTTGGATGATGGATCGGCTACAAAGTAACAACACTTGGTCAGCACCTCATAAGGAACATTCATGCCATGTTTGGTTTCATTCCATTCAGTGGTTCTCTAGAAGAAGTTCAAAATGTAAAAAGTTAACGCCGACGACGGACGACGCCGGACGACGCCGGACGACGACGGACGACGGACGACGGACGCCAAGTGATGAGAAAAGCTCACTTGGCCCTTCGGGCCAGGTGAGCTAAAAAAAGTGGAAAGACCTAATAAGAATAAACTGCTGACACAGAGATATGTCTCCCCTGTCAGCATAAAATTCAGAAAAAGACAAGCTGATGAACAGCAACATTGCTAATTAATTCAAAGTCGCTGGACCAACTAGAAGGTAGGGCCTCGAAATGGTTGATAAACTGAGATG